CCGATATCAGAGAAAACCCAACCGCTGCTCTCGAGCTAGAGAATCTGAATCGAGTCCATCCTGAATCGGAAACTCGAATCGGGATCGAGAATCGAACATCAGAGTGATTTTTGGGGATTTTTGCCGGTTTATCGAGCCAGACGAATCCACGGGTGGAGTTTCGCCACCACAAGGAGATGTACCGGCTCCGATCGAGCCAGGTATCGGCTGCTCCGGCAATACAGAACTGGATGTGGGAGAGATTGATCGGAGCGACGGATCCGGTGGGAGGTAGGGCTAAGGCTCTCTGAGGAATGGCGGGGAAACGGAGACATCGAAACCGAAGAATGAAGAGCCATTTTTCTCTGTCCGAAAGTAGCAATCATGTTAGTCTTAGCAATCTTTGGTGAATCTAGGTACGAATTTGTTGTGAATTGATCTGTAAATGGCGAATTGATCTGTAAATGGGTTTAATTTGGTTTTTCGTTTTCAATTTTTTTTTATTAGGACTGCAAAATGCTTGTTTGATTAGGACTGGTTTTACTTTGCTTTTTTGTTTCTGCAATTGTTATAAATGCTTCTTAGATTAGGGATGGTTATCAGATTAGGACAGACAAATGGTTTTTGATGTTCATTGTCATCAGCAGAATTGTAGCTAAAGTAATTGCAGTTTCTTGATAGCCTTTAGGTATACCTTTATGTTCAATCTAAATGCAAGAAAGAGTCGGTAGTTGATTGCTGATAATTTGAGAGATGAGGTGCTTTTATGACGTAGCTTAGAGTTCTATATGGGGAAAGAATTGTGTTAAAGCAAGCTCTCTTATATGAGAAGTTGATGATGGTCATGTTGATTTCACTTACTAAATCTTATGGGATTTGCTCTTCATCCATTTGACCTCAGTTTTGAATTGATTTGTCCCTCTTTTCTTGTACCGTGTTCTTGCCTTCTTGATTGGACTTGCACTTTCTTGTGAAGATAGTGTTTCTATTGAAAATACTTTTACAGAAGCCTACTCATATCTCCTTTTGTTTAAGTGTTAGCTAAAACTGTTTTTGGTTTGAGTCTGATAACCAATTGGTTTTGTTTGGTTTTGTCACACTTGAAATGAGTATTTTGTATGGTGTTTTCTTGTCTTGGGTTGAAAACTTTGAGATGGGTTTCATTGTTTGTGTTTGCAGATGGCATCGAGGTCATCAAGCAAAGGGAAATCGAACAACTAATACTTCAGATTAGAGTTTTTATTTACCTTTTTGTTGGTGTGTTGTGGCTGATATCATGGATCAAACATAAGCATATATAAAATTTTATCTCTTGATTTTTAAAATTTTTAATTTTAACAACCCCAATTACCGGAGGAGAAAAACAAAATAAAAACCCCCTAATGATCTTTTAAACTTAAGACATCTGACTTCTTCTATCCAGTCGA